GGACCCAGGAAGAAGTTATACACCAGGAAGAAAGGCCTAGAAAACATAATTCATCACAGATCTCAGAAAGGGGCAACCTGGCCATTGTCTTGAGCCTGACTTCCCATGCCCAGATGTGCGAGACAGCACATTTCTATTGTTTAAGGCTGTCAGTTTGTGAGAGTTGTTGCAGCATCCTTTGTAAAGTAACATAAGTGGGAAGGGGGACTCACTTTCAAATTTGGGTGAGATAACGAAAAGGAAGTACAATTTCATTCAATTTAATTGGACGCTTTTGGCCCCAATTGTTTGCTATTTGTAGAGTTAGGAATGGTTTTGAAAAGCACTTGGAAAAAATCAAGGGTGAAAGACTTTTAACAAAAACAAAAGAAGCCATTGAATATATTTACTATTCAAAGCCAGTCTCAGAGAAGATTGCTTTGGCAAGAGAATGAGTGGATTGTATTTTTAGCATGAGTGGTGATTCCCATTTCTATACTTTGGTTAGATATTTAAAAAACTAATGCAATGTGATACTGCATTTCTTAAAAAATATTGCAGAATATATCTTCTGCAAGTCTCTCTCTCTCTCTCTCTCTCTCTCTCTCTCTCTCTCTCTCTCTCTCTCTCTCTCTCTTTCTTTTTCAAATAGGGTCTTACTGTGTAACTCTGGCTGGCCTGGGACTTATATGTAGACTAGGTAAGCCTTGAACTCATAACCTTTTGGGAGTCTTTTAATTAAAGATGCAAGAAATGTTAGTTAGATGCAATGTTCATGAATTTTCAATAGTATTTTTCTTTAAAACTTGTTACTTCACAATTAAGGAAAATTCATACAATTATATTAATTAATAATTAATTGTAATTACTGCCAGTTACCCTAGCCACTCAAATTCTTTAAAGGAAAATACATGTAAATTGAAGTTGGTTTTGGAGTTGAGAAACCTAAGCTTCTTTTTAGAAATTAACTCCCAGCACTCGGGAGGCAGACCCAGGTGGATCTCTGTGAGTTTGAGGCCAGCCTGGTCTACAGAGTGAAATCCAGGACAGGCACAAAGTTACACAGAGAAACCCTGTCTTGAAAAAAGTGCAAAAAAAAAAAAAAAAAGAAATTAACTTATAACTTATTCTTTGACAATGTCATACATGTGTATAGTATAGTATTCTGGTCATTCCAACTACCTCTCTCTTAACTACCCATCCCACTACTGTGTCTTTTGTTTTTGTTTTTGTGACCCACTGAGTCTAATCAGGACATGGTTGTGGAGTTTTCTATGGGAACATGGACAGCTCGCCAGTGGCTTTATACTACTCATGACAATGACTTTTCTGCCCCATAACCTTCATACTACTCAGGACAATGACTTTCCTGCCCCATAGCCTTCATACTACTCAGGACAATGACTTTCCTGCCCCATAACCTTCAAGGGACCAGTAGCCATCAAAGGGCACACTTTTTTTATTTAAAAGTTTTTTTCCATTTACATACCAACTGCAGTTTCCCTTCCTCCCCCTCTTCTCCTCCCCCCTTCCCACCTCTCCATATACCCCCCCATCCACTTCTCAGAGAAGGTAAGTCCTCCCATGTCTGGCATATCAAGTTGAGGCCGGACCAAGCCCCTTCCCCCTGCATCAAGGCTTAGCAAGCTATCCTTCCATAGGGAATGGGCTCCAAAAGCCAGTCCATGACCTAGAGATAAATCCTGGTCCCACTGCCAGGGGCCCCACAAACTGCCCAAGCCACACAACTGTCACCCATGTTCAGAGGGCCTAATTCCATTCTATGCAGGTTCCCCAGTTGTCAGTACAGAGTCCTTAAACTCCTACTAGCTCAGGTCAGCTGACTGTGTGGATTTCCTCATCATGATCTTGACCCCCTTCCTCATATAATCCCTCCCCCCTCTCTTTGACTGGATTCCAGGAGCTCCCCCCAGTGCTTACTGTGAATCTCTGCATCTGCTTCCATCAGTTACTGGATGAAGTTTCTATGATGACACTTAGGGTAGTCATCAATCTGATCACAGGGGATGGGCAGTTCAGGCACCCTCTCCACTATTGCTAAGAGTCTTAGCTGGGGTCATCCTTGTGGATTCCTGGGAGTCTCCCTAGCACCAGGTTTCTCCCTAACCTCATAATGGCTCCCTCTGTCAAGATATCTCTTTCATTATTCTCCCTCTCTGTCTCTCTCCCAACTAGACCATCCCATTCCTTCATGTTCTTATCCCCCATCCCTGCTTCCCTGCTCCCTCCTCTCCTCACACTACCAGTTTACCCAGAAAATCTTATCTATTTCCCCTTCCTAGGGCAATCCATGCATATCCCTTTTAGGGTCCTCCTTGCTACCTAGCTTCTCTGGGGTTGTGGATTGTAGCCTGGTTATCCTTTGCTTTATATTTAATATCCACTTATGAGTGAGTACATACTGTGTCTTTCTGGGTCTGGGTTACCTCACTCAGGATTTTTTTTTCTAGTTCCATCAATTTTCAAAGGGTGTACTTTTGTGTGCTTGGATTTGTATGTTCATCTGCTCTCATGCATAATACCATTAAGTTCTGTTTTTAAATGAAGGAGTGAGCCTATCACAGATTTCACGTGGTGCTTCCAAACCATTGGGGCATGTTTTTAGGTATGGTATTCTATGGAGATAAGGTACAAAGGTGTGTGTGTGTGTGTGTGTGTGTGTGTGTGTGTGTGTGTGTGTGTGTGTGCAGGAGCATGCATGCCTATAGTGGTCTGGGGACAGCTTGCAGAAGTTGATTATCTCCTTCCACCATGTGGGTCCTAGGGATGTAACTCATCATCAAGCTTGGGAACCAGCACGTCAACTCCCAGAGTCGTCTCGCTGATCTGAAGTTTATGTTTTTTTTTTTAAACTCTGATACATGTTCTGTATATCAGCCCTCTGTCAGATGTGGGGTTGGTGAAGATATTTTCCCATTCTGTAGGCTGTCATTTTGTCTTGTTGACCATATCCTTTGCCCTACAAAAGCTTCTCAGTTTCAAGAGGTCCCATTTATTAATTGTTTCTCTCAGTGTCTGTGCTACTGGTGTTATATTTAGAAAGTGATCTCTGGTGCCAATGCATTCAAGACTACTTCCTACTTTCTCTTCTATCAGGTTGAGAGTAACTGGATTTATGTTGTGGTCTTTGATCTACTTGAACTTAAGTTTTGTGCACGGTGACAAATATGGATCTATTTGCATTCTTCTACATGTTGACATCCAGTTATGCCAGCACCATTTGTTGAAGATGCTTTCTTTTTTCCATTGTATATTTTTGGCTATTGCTTAATCATACCACAAGGACACATGCTCAACTACGTTCATAGCAGCATTATTTGTAATAACCAGAACCTGGAAACAACCTAGATGCCCTTCAACTGAAGAATGGATAAATAAAATGTGGTACATATACACAATGGAGTACTATTCAGCAGAGAAAAACAATGACATCATGAGGTTTGCAGGCAAATGGATGGAACTAGAAAAAATCATCCTAAGTGAGGTAACCCAGACTCAGAAAGACAAACATGATATGTACTCACTCATAAGTGGATACTAGATGTAAAGCAAAGGATAACCAGACTGCAACTCACAATTCCAGGGAGGCTATCTAGTAAAGAGGACCCTAAGAAAGACATAGGGATTGCCCAATGACAGAGAAATGGATGAGATCTACATGAGCAAACTGGGGGTGGGAGGATAATGGAGGGCAAGGGTCAAGGGAAAGAGAGCTTAGGGGAGTGGGAGGTCCAGCTGGATCAGGACCAGAGTGGGAGAACAGGGAGGGAGATACCATGATGAATGTAGACCCCAGGGGAATAGGAAGAAGCAGAGTGCTAGAGAGGTCCCCAGGAATCCACAAAGAGACCTCCACTATAGACTACTGGCAATGGTTGAGAGAGTGCCTGAGCTGACTTGCTCTGGTGATCAGATGGCCGAACACCCTGGCTGTCATGATAAAACTCTCATCCAGTGTCTGATGGAAGCAGATGCAGAGATCCATGGCCAAGCCACAGGTGGAGCTCCAGGAGTCCAATTGGCAGGAGAGAGGAGGGATTGTATGAGTGAGAGATATTGAGACCATGATTGGAAAAAGCACAGGGACAAATAGCCAAACTAGTGGAAACTCATGAACTGTGAACCAATGGCTGAGGAGCCCCCATGGAACTGGACCAGGCCCTCTGGATAAGAGGGACAGTTGATTAGCTTGAACTGTTTGGGAGGCCACCTGTCCTTGGTGCATGGGCTGGCTTTTTGGAGCCTGGGGCCTATGCTGTGACACTTTGCTCAGCCTTGGTGTAGGGAAGAGGGGACTGGACCTGTCTAGGCTGAGTCTACCAGGCTGGGCTGACTCCCCAGGGGAGATCTTGCCTTGAAGGAGATGGGAATGGGGGATGTATTGGGGGGGGGGGAAAGGTTGGTGGGTAGGAGGAGGGAGGACAGGGGAATCTGTGGCTGATACGTGAAATTAAGTTAATTACAAAATAAAAATATTAAATAAAAAAACAAAAAACTCTGATACACTTTATAGTTGTTTGTCTTGATAGCGGACAAAGGAACATACGGAATATTGTTTCTTTCTTTTTACATGACACACAGAGATAAAGGCAAAACATTATCGTATTTGTAATCACTCTTCAAATAGGAAATCTCACCCATAAGAAAAAATTGATTTAATAAACAGCTGTTACTGTTAACTCAACTAATTGGCTGGGCCATGGTCTCAGTTTATACCACAGCCAGTTTTTCAGACTGTTTTCATCTAAAATATATGCAAGAATTCCTGAGTGACAAAGCGTGGTAGTAGAGGATGAAGAAGTTTACAGAGGAAAACGATTCAGCATTAAGTGACCCCTTTCCTACCTTACTCTACTTCATACCTGAAAGCCTGTCATGTTGAAACTTGAAAATCTGTTCTTAGAATGAAGTTAAACAGAAAAGACAGGGCTACTCAGTTGGGAAATGGACACACAGCATGGCACAACCTTTTAATTTTATTTTTAATACCTGATCATATACTTTATTTATCATGTAGTCTCGGTCTAATCACTTATATCTGTCTTCTTAAAATGAAGAAAGAACACCAAAAGACAGTATCTCATTCTGCCTTTTCATGTTTGCTTCATCCTGTTTGCTCCATAAATCCCAGGACCTGTGTTAAAATTGGAAATTTACAACAAGAGCAACACCTAAGAGAAAGACATTCTTTCACTAGAAAATTCTGGGTTCTCACTATAAGAAAATAAAATTTCTATGTAAAATACTAGATATCCATTACAAATTTTTCTCCTTGAATTCTACTTTTTTGTTATTCTCTCTCTCTCTCTCTGTCTCTCTGTCTCTCTCTCTGTCTCTCTCTCTCTCTCTCTCTCTTTCTCTGTCTCTCTCTCTCTCTCTCTCTCTCTCTGAACACTGTGGACTTGACTAGTGATAGATATCATTTTATATACATAGCACATTTCTCAAAGATGTGATTCCATTCTTGGTTCTATTGGTCTTGATTATTTCCTGAACTAGTTTTTCCCCCCAATTAATCAAACATATGTGGAATTCTGATTCTGTTGAACATCTTGTATTCATTTTTTCATTTTTTTAGGGCCAAAAAGAACATTTATCTTATCCAGCTACAAACTTCAATAAGCTCTCTATTTCTCTAGGTCACTGATGGCAAGTGTTAAACAAATTTACATTTGGGATTTTCTATTCATTTCCCGCCTGGTTGACACTGAGCCAATGATAACCGCTCAATAGCTGTGCAGCTCCTGATCATTTGCGTGACCCTGTCTGCCTTTCCAGTTCACTGATAGCTCTATCCTGTGGCACTAAGTCAAAGCCTTACCAGAGTCACGAGAGAGCCCCACATTACTCTCCCTCCACATTCCAGGAGCACCTTTCTCTGGAGAAACACAGAAAGAATCTTCACTGTGGTCTGTTTCAATACTAAAGAAAATGCTCTGAGCAGAGTTTCTATATAATGGAACTTGGAGATACTGTAAAGGTAGAATGTACAATTTAAGGAGAAAATATTCTCTAGTTAATGAGTGTCTCTTGAGTTCTCAGATTCAATATTTCTAGTTGTTAAATTGTGCCTGATAAATTGGCCACTAACTACTTTGAAGAATTAATCTCTGGCCCAGCAAATGGGTCACCTTGCATCGGTCATCAAGAGTCCTGCCTCCTCTTCCGAACACTGAGTTCTCATGCCTGTCACCATTCAGAGTCACATGTTCCTGGGCAATGGTTCATGCCTCAGCCAGTTTCATCATGTGAACAAGTGAAGTAAAATAGACAAAGTCCCATTTTGCTTTAAATGGAAGGCATTCGTGTGACATGTGACAAAATACAAACAAGGTGTTTTAACATTCAAGAACATTTCTCTACATACTCAACAATAATAAATTAAACAATACCCCTCATTAAGATACACATTTTATCGCAAAAATTTGCAAGGTCGCAAAAATTATAATCTCTATTTTTGTGGTGATGGCAATGGTTGAAAAATATAAATATTAATAAATATGTAATATATTGCAATAAATTAAGATTTTTTTCTCTTATTGTAAACTGGATCATGGGGAAATCAAATCAGTTATTTTGATGACCCAGGGCAAGAATGGTTTCCATCCAAATTCCTTAGTTTTCTTTTTGATGTTGGAAACTGATTAGAGGCCCCAAGAATGAATATTTTGATTTTTCACATAAAACAAAAATAGAAAAAGCACCTTATTCTTTTGTTAAGAAATGTATGTGGAATTACTTTTGTATCATTCAATTAGTTTTTTAAATTAATATTTAATTTTTTAGTTTTTGTTACAGTAACATGCTTGTGTACCACATATCCACAGATATCATCTGGAGAACACATTTCCTTGGTGAAGGTAGGAGGTACTTATTAATAATTTCACTTGAATGTAATCTCTTGTAATGCTGTTTTTGGGGAAATTACTTTTTGAATAGGTAAAATGTAAGCAAGGGGTGGTAGAATTTATAATTTAATTTCTACTTGTTTTCCTACCATTTTGGGGACAGAGTTTCGAAGTAGAGGCCAGGCTGAGTGAAACTTACCTACATGAGGCCCAGGATGACCTCAAACCTGTGCAGTAGTCCTCTTTCAGCTTGGTGAGTGATGGGATTACAGGAGTGAGCTATTTTTCTGCCATTTTACTTTTCTTCATGTTCTATGAAAGAGCTTAGAGGGGCTACTGGTAATAGGGATTGTCTTGGGGGATGCAGAGAAGGGAAACTTTCAGGACCAGGCACCTGATGGTATGTTTACACTGTGTCCACTGACTGTATATCATGTAACTTCATGTTATAGTTTACAGCAGTTGAAAATTAGTACTAATTGTCCTCATTGGTGTGTGTGTGTGTGTGTGTGTGTGTGTGTGTGTGTGTGTGTGTGTGTGTGGTGAAGTAGAGAGCACTGTGGCTAGATCAGAAGTTTAATCCTTAGATTGACCAGATACATCTTCTGTTCTATAATGCAGTTCCTTCCATCAACAGGTGAAGGGAAAGAGCACAGGGATTGTAGACAACAGTAGTCACAGCTTTGTAATGCTAGGGACTTAAGTCACTTTCAATATTTAATAATTTTACTATTTTTCATAATAATGAATGAATTAGGAGGAAATAAGTTTCTCTCAGTTTCCTCATAGGTACTGAAGTTGGTGACTGAGTAGGGTTCTGAGAGCTGGATGTACGATCTTAACAGCTATCACACTAGACTGTTTCATCTTTGCCTCTTTGCTAAAGATTCTCAACTATCTCCAGCCAATGAAGGCCAGGATGGCCTTGCCAGTGTGTGTGCATGTGTACATTCTAATGATCTATTTTCTTACAAGTGACGAGGAGGTATAAGTTTCACAGCCTCCATTACCTCCATGTGACATGGCATCCTCACAACATGGTGGCCCTGGGGTAGCTGAACTTCTGGCATTACCGCTGAGACTCCAAGAGGAAGTGCTCCAAATTATAATGAGGGAGCTGCGATTCCTTTCCCAACCTAGCTTTGGAACCCGTGCTGTATCACTTCTACTCATCTGATTGTGACTCACAAGGCTACCTTCAAGAAGAAGGGTTCTAGACTCCACTTCTTAAAGGAGGAATAGCAATGTCCCATCGTATATGATGGAATAGGAAATACTGCCATGGCATCTTTGAAAAGTGTAAGCTCTTGCAGGGTTTAAAAGTTGCTTTCTGTTCCATACACTCAAAATGGAAGTAACTGATGTTTGACACATTCAGAATCCCACTCCTTACTTCCTTTCTGAGGGTTTTTTTTTTTTTTGGTTTTTCGAGACAGGGTTTCTCTGTGTAGTTTTGGTTCCTGTCCTGGAACTCGCTCTGTAGACCAGGCTGTCCTTGAACTCACAGAGATCCACTTGGCTCTGCCTCCCAAGTGCTGGGATTAAAGGTGTGCGCCACCACCACCCGGCTCCTTTCTGAGTTTTTGAGCAGGATTTGGAACAGTCTTTTTGAGGTTTCCACTGGATGTTATGACAGAGGCTGTTAGCTGTTTTCCAACGACTGCTCTTATTCCAGGTTGTTGTTGCGTTTAGTTGCCATGAAATCTCAGAATAAAGCCTGGGCATCTACTCCAACCCATTACTATGTGACAAAATTTTGTCTAAGAGAACGTAAGGGCATGGAGTGTTGTGTGGCAGCTTATGGCAGCCTTGGTCAATCCTGTATTCCTCTGTAATGATGTTTGCAGAAGCTTGTCTTTAAATATAAGACAGAGTTAATGGGGAAGAAAGCCGTAATGACCAACTCCCTTGAGGCTTTCATGCAAGAGAGGTGAAAAGTTGTATTTTAAGCCGCTCACATTTGTATCTGTTGCCCATAGCCATTGCTAATTGTCATTGATATGAATTGCTAGCTCATCTCAACCTGGACATGGTAAAACAGGACTCTCAATTTCCTCCTTGGAACTTGGCCCTTTGCCTAGATGCCTCCATATTTGTAACTAGTACTCACTTCTACTCACTTGACCTGAAGTCTAGGATCACCCTTTATTCTTACCTTTCTCTTCTGGTTCACAACATTAATAGAAGTTAATGTTGTCTTTTCTTCCTTTAAATACCCAACCATGTCTTATACCTTGACACAAGCCACCTTCATCTTTCCCTTAAACTACTATTGTAAGTCTGATTTTACTTCCATTTTTTTCTTCCTTATAACCACACACACACAAACACATATACATACACACATATACATGTATATGTATACACACATATATACATGTGTATACACACACATATATACATATATATTGTACACACATATACATATATATTGTACACACACACACACACAAACACACATAGTCACATAACTGGTGTTTTCAAAACCATCTGTCACAGTGGGAAGGCATCCTATGTCCTCACTGTGGTCAAACAGTCCTTCTCCAGTCCTATCTCCAAGCAGTCTCCTTGGTTACTACATCAAAGCCACATTCTTCTTCTTTTTGGTGTTCTTTAATATTCCTCTTCTGAAAGGAGAAGTGGACACATAGCCCTATCCCTAGCCCAGAAGCTGTCTTCAGTTGATAACCACTTGCAAATGGTTGTTTAGTTTCTTCCAAGGGAGTCTCAGTGGGGAAACAAACTACTCTTGTAGGCAGGCTGAATGCCCAGCCGTAGATGCCAACAAAAAATCAATTCAACTGCATCTTTGGAGATTCCTTGTCTCACAATGTCATGTTAAGGCTTTTTTTTAAAAAACTTTACCTTATTATTTTATTTATATATGTATATATTTCTCTTTTTACCCTACAGGTTTTTTCATATATAGTATGGCTTGCAGTTTAGCATTTTTTTTTATGGAATTCTTGAGTTTGTGAATATGTGGGTCTCATTTCTTTTGTCTTCTCTTGGGCTTTTTTCTTCTGTTTGTTTTGTCCAATTCTGATGTGTTAGTTTTTGTTTTATCTTATTATATTTTATTATTATCCCTTAGAAGCCTGTTTGTTTTCTAATGAAAGACAGAAAGGGAGTTGATCAGATGGGAGGGGAGGTGGTGAGGAGCTGGGAGAAGTAGAGGGAGGGGAAACTGTAGTCAGAATATATTATGTGAGAAAAATGTATTTTCTTTTTCTTTTTTTTTTTTGAGACAGGGTTTCTTCCTGGAACTCACTCTGTAGCCCAGGCTGGCCTTGAACTCACAGAGACCTGCCTGCCTCTGCCTCCCAAGCGCTGGGATTAAAGGTGTGCACCACCACTGCCTGGTGAAAAATGTATTTTCAAAAAAATGCAAAAAAGATAGATGATAGATGCTAGCTAGATGGATGGATAGGTAAAAAGAAATTTTGAATTAAGCAGAATGCCACAGAACTCAGTCTAAAATAAAGTTCTAGAAAGATTGTTAAAGTTGAAAAAAAAAAAGAAAAAAGAAAGCATTGATGAGAGAGTGTAATGGGTGATGAGTCTGATTAAAGTATGCCATATACCTGTACGGAAATCATTATAAGCTAATAAAAAATGTAACCCAAAACCTCAAGTTCAGAAAATTGATTTTCCCCCACTGCAGATGAACTACCAAAAGAGATTAATTCATGTCAACTAAATTCACAATGCAGAAATAAAATTCGAACTAATATTTATTTTTTAAAAATTTATTTGTATCTACAGATCTCTGTGTGAGAGTAAGCCACATGTGTGTGGCATTGGATCCCCTGGATCCAGTGTTACAGGTGTTAGTGAGCTGCCCTGTGGGGGTCTTTGGGCAGGGCAGCAAGTGTTCTTTATTGTTGGAACCATCTCTCCGCCCCCACCAAGTTAATGTTTATAATAAGATATATATCTGGTCTAATTATTCATTAATGAAGGGCACCATTGAGAGGGGTTACTGTGTGTGCTGGCTAATTTTATTTCAACTTGACACAGGCAAGACTCACCTGAGAGGAGGGCACCCTTACTGAGAAAATGCTTCCGTAAGATTGGGCTGTAGGCAAGCCTGTGTAGCATTTTCTTAATTAGTGATTGATTATGGGTGAGGCCACCCCTGGGCTGGTGATCCTGTGTTCTATAAGAAAGCAGGCTGAACAAGCTGTGGGCAGCAAGCCATGGGCAGCACACTTTCATGGCCTCTGCATCAGCTCCTGCCTCCAGGTTCCCGCTCTGCTTGAGTTCCTGTCCTAACTTCCTTCAGTGATGGACTAATAATGTGGAAGTGTAAGCCAAATAAATCCTTTCCAACGTGCTTTTGGTCATGATGTTTCATCACAGCAATAGTTACCCAAACTAAGACATTATGGTTCTTTAAAAACAATAGAAGTTGCTGATATGACTTTTCTGGCACTGTGAGTGGATACTGAGTATGAGAAAAAAGCACACAGGCTGTTATAATTGGTGTGTCTGTTTTAGGCTCCATATCCGCTAACAGTCTTGCCCCATGTGTATTGAAGACAAAAGAAAGACTTTAGGAATGGGAATTCAGCAATGAATTGTAGGATACTTGTTGTCAAGGTAAATTAATCTTTCTTTTGCTTTAATCCTTTTATATCAATTCATTCTCATTGAGCTTTCATAGAAAACGTCCTGTGTTTTTATATTATCACCCACACTAGCTTCTTTTATTGAAAAATCTATAACATAAAGGGAATTAGTTTTGGTGCTGTCTTTGAGAGCAACAGGCGCTGTGCTTCAGAATTATTTTTGTTGCTTCTGCTGACGATAATGGTGGCACTACATAACCACATGCCAGACAAGAAGAGTGAAGTACAGTCATACTGTACCTACAGTAGAATGTGTGTCTGCTGCTTGGGCCTCTTGGGATCCTCAGTTTCTATGCAAAGGTATAGTCTCTGTAAATCTGTTTACACTTTGGGAAAATACTGACACACGTTTGCAAAATAATAGAAGTGACAAGTCATTTTTAGTATTCACAAGAGGCACACTTCTTCCAATGTGTCAAAGGAGAAATAGTATTGAGTGTTTTTATTTGGTGACTTATTGGGGTAAATTTCCATTCCTTTATGATTTTGTTTCAAATTTTAAGCTGCAATTAAAATGATAAACCTCTACTATTATGTTAGGCAGCTTTCCATCACTAGAATATAGCACTTGAGATAATCAGCTTACACAAGGGAAACATTTATCTTTGCTCACAGTTTTGGAGGATACAATCCACGGTTAGTTGACCCCATTAAATTTTGTGCCTGCAGTGAGTATTATGGCAGGAAGCACATGAAGGAGCATGTCATCTAATGACAGCTGGGAATCAAAGAGAATAGAAAGGGGAGAGCCAGTTTCTTAATATTACCTTCAAAGGCACATTGTCATGAGTGAAACTTGTAACTAGACCCTACCTCTTAAAGGTTCCACCACATGCCCAGAGTGCCCAGGGCTGAGGGCCAAGCTTTTACCATGTAGGACTGTGGGAAACACTTTTCTAAAGTACAACATGTACTTTGTATATACATTGCACATGTACCCTATATGGTTAGTAGTTATAACACCCATAATTGATTTACTTTATTCCTGATTAGTTGAGTTTGATTTTGGTCAAGTTACTTAATCATATTCAAATCTCTTTTTCCTAATCTATAAAATAGATATAATAACATAATTTTCTTCCTTAAGTTATTTTGAGTATAGTAGGGAGAAAACATATAGATGCTTAAATATCATTCACAATGTATGCATTCAATGAGCCTAGCTATTGTTAATATTGTACTCTATACACACAGATTACCACATTTTTAAGTTATTGATAGGCACCTACTGGCCACTAAATTTGTGCCAGGATTATAGCAGATCAATTTTAGGAATACAATGGTAGACAGTTGACCTTGGTCCTACTCTTATGGCTCATACAGCAAAACAAGAAAGACAAATCAGAACTAATTTCACAAATGAATACGAATTTATTGCAACCCATGAGACAGGATGAAAGTAAACTGTAGGCAAGGTTGAGTGTAAGGTGGGTGTAGATGGGCAGCCCCTCCGATGCGTAGTCAGGGATGCTTCTCTGAGGAAGTGGGTAGACTATGG